GCCTGCCTGAGTGCTAACGATGTGCCCAAACATACACAAAGCTCCTTAGCAAATACAGATTTTTTTTTGGTTCAAGGCATTTAAGGAAATCTCAATGCAGTTATTAACTGACCACTAAATTAACCAAACAGATACTGCAGTGACATCACACAACAGAGAATATATCTTTATGGGACTAGTTCAGAAAAGTTGCCAAACAATAACTATTACCATAATCAGCAACAACAAATCCTGAGAAAAGTGAGATAACCTGATTCCCTCACTTGCCATATTGTATTATTCAATATGCCCAGTTTCAACAAAAATTTACAAGGCATACAAAGAAACAAGAAAGAATGGCTCACACTCAGGATACAAGTAATCAGTAGGAAATGTCCAGAAGAGGCTCATTTGTTGGACTTTCTAGAAAAAAACTTCAAATAAGCTATTTTGAATATGTTCAGAAGAGACCATATTTAAAGAACTAAAGAAGAGTATGAGAATGAGATTTCACAAATAGAGACCATCAATAAAGAAATAGAAATTATAACAAGTAAACAAATAGAAATTCTGGAGTTGAAAAGCATAATAACTGAAATGAAAACTTTACTAGAAGTGCTCAATAACAGATTTTAGTTAGCAAAAAGAGAATCAAAATGAATGGATCAACTGAGATTATCTAAGCTTAGAGAAAGACAAAAATTAAGAAAAGCAAATAGTCTCAGAGACCTGTGGTAAATCAACAAGCATACCAATATAAGAATAATGGAAGTTCTGGAAGGAGAGAGAAGAGAAAGAGAAGGGCAGAATGAATACTAGAGAAATTCATAGTCATTGGCCAAAATTGATTAAAAACTTAACCTACACTTCCAAAAATTTCAACAAACTCCAAGTGGGATAAACTCAAAGAGATTTTTATACCTAGACATATAATCAAACTGTCAAAAGTCAAAGAGAAAAATCTTGAAAGCAGCAAAGCAACTCATCAAATACAAGAGATCTGCTGTAAGATTAACAGCTGATTTGTCCTCAGAAACCATGGAGGCAAGAAGGCAGTGTGATGTGATTACCTAAAATACTGAAAGGAAAAAACCTGTCATCTACCAAAAATTCTATATCTGGCAAAACTATCCATCAAAAATGAGAAAGAAATTGAGATATTCCCAGATAAACAAAACAGAGCGTATGTTGCTGTCACATTTTCCATACAAGAAATGCTAAAGGGAGGTTTTTAGCAAAATATATATAAATGACATGACTCAGCTATATGCTGTGTATAGGAGACTCATTTTAGAGTCAAATATACAAATAGGTTGAGAGTGAAAGGATAGAAAACGTGTTCTATGTAAACAGTGACTAAAAGCTGTAGTGTAGAGATACTAATATATTAGTATCTTATAAGGCACAATAAATGTTAAATCAAATGTTACTAGAGGCAAAAAAAAAGATGAAACATCAACCTATCAAGAATATATGATACTTATAAGCATATATATCATATACAACAGAACCCCAAAATATATGAAGCACAAACTGACAGAAAAGAGAGTTCAAAAATGTCAAAAATAGCCAGGTGCAGTGGCTCACACCTGTAATCCCAGCACTTTGGGAGGCCAAGGCAGGCAGATCACAAGGTCAAAAGATTGAGACCATCCTGGCTAACATGGTAAAACCCCATCTCTACTAAAAATACAAAAAATTATCCAGGCATGGTGGCACATACCTGTAGTCTCAACTACTCAGGAGGCTGAGGGAGGAGAATCACTGGAAACTGGGAGGCAGAGTTTGCAGTGAGCTGAGATCGTGCCACTGTACTCCAGCCTGGGTGACAGAGTGAGACTACATCTCAAAATAAAAGTCAAAAATTGGAAACTTCGGTATCCACTTTCAATAATGATGCATAAACAACTAGACCGAAGATCAGTAAGGAAATAGAACCCTTGAACAACATTATAAGCTAGCTAGATCTAACACACCTAAAGAACACTCTATTCAACAATAGCAGAATACACATTTTTCTCAAGTGCACATGAAACATTCTTCAGGATAGACCATATGTTAGTCCATAAACAAGCCTCAATAAAATTAACTGAAATCATACATAGTATTTTTTCCAACAACAAAGGAATGAAATTAGAAATCAATAATAGGGGTTGGGCACAGTGGCTCATGCCTGTAATCCCAGAACTTTGGGAGGCCTAGGCGGGTGGATCACCTGAGGTCAGGAGTTTGAGACAAGCCTGGCCAACATGGCGAAACCCCATCACTACTAAAAATATAAAAATTGGCTGGGTGTGGTGGAAGACACTTGTAATTCCAGCTACTTGGGAGGCTGAGGCAAGAGAATCACTTGAACCCGGGAGGCAGAAGTTGCAATGAGCCAGGATTGCAGCACTGTACTCCAGCCTGGGTGACAAGAGCAAAACTCTATCAAAAGAAAGAGAGAGAGAGAGAAGGGGAGGGAAAGAGAGAAGGAAAGAAAAAAGAAAGAAGGCCGGGCGCGGTGGCTCAAGCCTGTAGTCCCAGCACTTTGGGAGGCCGAGGCGGGTGGATCACAAGGTCAAGAGATCGAGACCATCCTGGTCAACATGGTGAAACCCCGTCTCTACTAAAAATACAAAAAATTAGCTGGGCATGGTGGCATGTGCCTGTAATCCCAGCTACTCAGGAGGCTGAGGCAGGAGAATTGCCTGAACCCAGGAGACGGAGGTTGCGGTGAGCCGAGATCACGCCATTGCACTCCAGCCTGGGTAACAAGAGCGAAACTCCATCTCAAAAAAAAAAAAAAGAAAAAAAGAAAGAAAGAGAAAGAAAGAAGGGAAAGAAAGGGTAGAAAATTGAGAAATTCACAAGTTTATGGAAATCACACTTCTAAGTAATTAAGGGGTCAAAAAAATCAACATACCTAAAAGCTGGTTCTTTGAAAAAAAAATCAACAAAATTAACAAATATCTAGATAGACCAAGGAAAAGAGAGTAGATTCAAATTACTAAAATCAGAAATGAAAAAGGGGACATTTCTACTGGACTTACAGATAAAAAGGAGTGTAAGAGAATACTATAGGCAGTTGTATGCCAACATATTAGATAACTAGATGAAATTGATTAATTTCTGGAAACACAGAAAACACCAAAACTGATTCAGGAAGAAATAGAAAACATGAATAGACTTACAGTGGAGAGATTGCATTCGTAATCAAGAAACACTTTCAACAAAGAAAAGTCAAGGATCAGATGGCTTCCCTACTTATTTCTCCTGAACATTTAAAGAATACTTGACAACAATTCTTCTCAAATTCTCCCAAAAAATAGAAGATGAGGGAATGCTTCATAATTCATTCTATGAGGCCAATATTACCTTGATACCAAGGCCAAAGAGATCACAAGAAAACCACAGACCAATATCCCTTATAAATAGAGATGCAAAAGTCCTCAACAAAATACTTACAAACCAAATTGATCAGCATAGAAAGAGGATTGCACACCATGACCAAGTGGAATTTATCCCAGGAATGGAAAGTTGATTGAAAATATGAAAATCAATATATCACAGCATATTAATAAATGAAGGGGAAAAACATAAACATCTCAATAGATGCAGAAAATACCATTTGACAAAATCCAACATTCTTTCATGATAAAATATTCAACAAACTAGAACTATGAGGGAACTTCCTCAACTTGACAAAGAGTGTCTATGAAAAACCCTCAGTCAACATTATATTTAATGGTGAAAGACTGAACACTTTCCCCCTGATTTCAGGAACAAGTCAAGGATATCTGGTCTCACTGCTTCCATTCAGCATTGTACTGGAAGGGCAATTAGTGAAGAAAATGAAGGAAAAAGACATCCTGATTAGGAGGAAAAAGGTAAAACAATCTCTATTTGCAAATGAAATAATCTTATATAGGTAGAAAGCCCTAAAAAAAACTACAAAAAACTATTAGAGCTAACATACAAGTTCAGCAAAGTTGCAGGATATGATATTAATATACAAAAATCAGTTGTATTTCTATAAATTAGCAATGAAAAATCAGAAAATGAAAACAATTTCATTTACAATAGCACCAACAAACATAAAATTCTTAATAATAAATTTAACCAAAGAAGTACAAGATTTACATACTGAAAACCACAGCACATCATTGAAAGAAATTAAGAAGACCTAAATAAATAGAAAGACATCTGTGTTCTTGGATTGGAAAATATTGTTTAGATGAAAGTACTCCCAAAATTGATCTACAAATTCAATGCAACTCTCTATGAAAATTCCAATGGCTTTCTTTTGAAGAAATGGAAAAGCTGATTCTAAAATTTATATGGAAATGCAAGGAAACCTGAAGAGCCTAACAATTTTTTTAAAAGAGCATAATTGGAGGGGCCAGGTGTGGTGGCTCACACCTGTAATCCCAGCACTTTGGGAGGCAGAGGCAGGAGGGTCACGAGTTCAGAAGTTCGAGACCAGCCTGACCAATATAGTAAAACCCCATCTCTACTAAAAATACAAAAATTAGCTGGACATGGTGGCACACACCTGTAATCCCAGCTGCTCAGAAGGCTGAGGCAGGAGTATTGCTTTAACCTGGGAGGTGGAGGTTGCAGTGAGCTAAGACAGTGCCACTGTACTCCAGCCTGGGAGACAGAGCAAGACTCCATCTCAAAAAAAAAAAAAAAAAAAGAACATCATTGGAGACACACAATTTCCAGTTTCAAAACTTACTGCAGCAATCAACACAGAGTAGTATTGGCATAAAGATAGGCATAGAAATCCATGGAATAGAATTAGGAGTCCAGAAATAAACCCATACATATATTTTCTATAAGGGTGCCAAGACCATTCAACAGAGCTTAAAGAACAGTTCTTTCAACAAGTGGTGTAAAAATAACTAGCTATCTTTCCTAATACAAAATGCAAAAAAATGAATTTGGACCACTATCTCACACCATATACAAAAATTAACTCAAAATAAATCAACAACATAAATTTTGTTAGAGCTAAAATGTTAAAAACTCTTAAAAAGGTGCTCGCTTCGGCAGCACATATACTAAAATTGGAACGATACAGAGAAGATTAGCATGGCCTCTGCAATCGTTCTACTATAAGGACACGTGCACACGAATGTTCATTGCAGCACTGTTTACAATAGCAAAGACCTGGAACCAACCCAAATGCCCATCGATGATAGACTGGATAGGGAAAATGTGGCACATATACACCATGGAATATTATGCAGCCATCAAAAACGATGAGTTTGGGTCCTTTGTAGGGACATGGATGAACCAGGAAACCATGATTCTCAGCAAACTGACAGAAGAGCAGAAGATCAAACACCGCATGTTCTCACTCATAGGCGGGTGTTGAACAATGAGAACACATGGACACAGGGAGGGAAGCATTACACACTGGGGGTCAGTTGGGGGGAAATAGGGGAGGGGCGGTGGGGGGTGGGGAGCTGGGGAGAGATAGCAAGGGGAGAAATGCCAGATGTAGGTGATGGGGAGGAAGGCAGCAAATCACACTGCCACGTGTGTACATATGCAACAATTTTGCATGTTCTTCACATGTACCCCAAAACCTAAAATGCAACAAAATAAATAAATGGGAAAAAAAAAATAAATTCATCAACTTAAAGAGATTAGGCTCATGTATATGTATAATATAGACTAAGGCAGAGATCATGAACTGGTGGCCCAGAGATATGCTTTCTTTTATTTTGGCCCATATAGTGTATTGTAAAAATTTCTGCCAACATTTAAAATGAGAGAGATTTCACATAAAAATTCAAAAAAAAATGTAAATTTTTCAGGTTTTAGACAGGCAACAGTTTCTTACCTATGACAACAAAACATAAGCAACAAAAGAAAGAATAGGTATTTGGACTTCATTGAAATTGTTTTGCATCCAAAGATACTATCAAGAATGTGAAAAAACAATTACATAATGGAAGAAAATGTTTGCAAATGATATATCTGATAAGGATCTAGTGTCCAGAACATATAAAGACTCTTACACTTCAATAGTAAACAAATAACCCAATTTTAAAACAAGCAAAGAGTTTGAATAAACATCTCTCCAAAAAAGATATACAAATGACCAATAAGCACATGAAGAGATGTTCAACATCCTGTCAGTAGGGAAACTCAAACCAAAACCACAATGAGAAATACTTTACACCCACTAGAATAGATATATAAAAAGACTGTTGGCAAGGATGTGGAGAAACTGGAACCTGTGTATATTGCTTATGGGATTGTAAATTGGTGCAGTCACTTTGGAAAGTTTGGTAGTTCCTCAAAAAGAAAATTTGTGCATGAATTTTTATACTGGCATTATTCATGATAGCCCCAGAGTGGAAACAACCCAATATACATCACATGATGAATGAATAAACAAAATGTGGTATATCCGTGCAATGAAATAATATCCATAAGAAGGAATCAAGTGTTGATGCATGCTGTAATATACACGAACCTTAAAAACATTAGGCTAAGTGAAGGAAGCCAGATATGAAAGGCCAGATACTGTATGATTCCATGTATGCTATGTCCAGAATAGGCAAATCCATAAAGACAAAAAGTAGATAAGTGGTTGCTAGGGAATGGGGAGTGAGGTGGAGATGGGAGGAAATTGGAAGTGACTGATAACAGGTATAGGGTTTCTTTCTGGTGTTAAATAAATGTTCTGGGCCGGGCGTGGTGGCTCACATCTGTAATCCCAGAACTTTGGGAGGCCAAGGTGGGTGGATCACGAGGTCAGGAGTTCGAGACCAGCCTGGCCAACATGGTGAAACTCCATTTCTACTAAAAATAAAAAACTTAGCCATGCGTGGTGGTGCATGCCTGTAATTCTACCTGCTCAAGAGGCTGAGGCAGGAGAAACGCTTGAACCCCGGAGGGGAAGGTTGTGAGAGACTTCTCTTCCCAGTCCGCAAGGGGCGTGGTTTAAAAGGTAGGAGTTGTGTGAAAATGCCTCCATCAGGGAGCTAGAGGGGTTTCAAATGTAAAGTTCTTTGTCTGGGTTACCCACGCCAGCTAGGTAAGGAAAGCCTGGTGAGGCTTCTTTGTCTCAAAATCCTGCCAAAAGCTCTGGGAGGAGGGGGCTCTGTAACTCAGAGTTGTGGACCAAGTGGCCAATCCGATATCAGAGTCAAAGATCAATCACTCCAGAGGAAGTTTGAAAGAACTCTCATTGAACTAGAACATGAATGGGGAGGGAATAACTCAAGGTAAGCTGCTCCTTAGCTGAATGGATATCCTGCTCCCGGCTCTCTTCCCACAACACCGTGGGACCTGTCTCTCTCTCTCTTTCACTCTCTCCAATAAAGCGCTCTCCTGCAAAGCTCTTTGGGTCCATGATGTTTATTCCAGCAGTAAGCTCACCGCGCCTCCGGGGCCCCTTTTCTCATTCTTCGGGGTAAGAAAGGCCAAGAACCTCTTCAGAACTGGGAACTGGGGACGCTCCCCTGTTTACAGTTGCAGTGAGCCAGGATCGCGCCATTGCACTCCAGCCTGGGCAATAGAGTGAGACTCCGTATCAAAAAAAAAAAAAAAAAAAAAAGAAAAACAACTATTGGATTGATTATAGTTGTAAACTTCTCTAATTTGGTCTATCCTGCTGGAAAGTCCCTAGTTATAATAAGTTAGTTGGCAGCTTCTGATTGGTTACCCCAAAGTTTCATTTTTCTTTAATACAGGGGTCTACAAGAAATAGATCAAATTAGGGTTTCTTATGTTTGCAAATTAAGAAAGGTTAAGATCATTTATGAGGCCCAACTGGCTTCGTCTGCTCAGGGATTCTTCAGGCCTGGTCTCCATGTTAATTCTTATCTTAGAGCCTGTACCTTGCTGTTCCCTTTGCATTTATTTTTTTGAGATGGAGTCTTGCTCTGTTGCCCAGGCTGGAGTGAAGTGGGGTGATCTTGGCTCACTGCAACCTCCGCCTCCCGGGTTCAAGCGATTCTCCTGCCTCAGCCTCCTGAGTAGCTGGGGTTACAGGTGCGCACCACCACGACTGGCTAATTTTCAATTTGGAGAGATTTTTAATAAAGTAAATAGTAAATAATATGAAAAGAATTGATTTTTTTTTTGATGAAGGAAATGTTAGATGAGGTTCTGTTCAGCATCTAATTGTGTGGGATCAAATTCGTAGTAGCTCAATTTGCTAACTGATGCATGCAGATGCCTCTGATAAACTCTTAAGAGCCTTGGGAAGTTTCACAGCTTTTGAAAGTTTCACAGTAACAGCAGTTTAAAAGTGAAGTGGGAAGCTCACTGAATGTTGCCAATGCTGTGTTCACTGTGGCTCACTGATGAAAGACCAAAGATTCCCATGCTATAGATTAGGTGAAAGTTGGGTTGTTGCTTCCAAACAGAAAGGGCATAACTTGACCAGGGACCTCTTTTTGAAGAAGAAAATGTTCCAACGTACTCATAACTAAAAAGGGCTATTTGCAACAGAATCCCTTCCCATCCTTTCCTTCCCCATCTCCTTCCCCTAAAGCTTTAAGTAACAGTTAACAGATGCAAAATACATAAATAAATAAAAATTAAAAAGAAGAACCCTCCAGGGACTTTGTGAACCTCAAAAAAAAAAAAAAAAAAAAAAAAAAAACAAATAAACCTCCTGAATATTGGAAATATTCGAGACATCCTGTGCCTTTTATTGTAAGAAATAAAGGATCTGTGAAGGCCAGATCTCCATGGAGACTGAGAATAAGATTAGGCCTAAGGCCAGCTGAGAAAAAAAAAGGTACCGTTAAGGGCATATTTGATATGAATGATTTCTAAAGTGCTCATAATTTCTTAGTTTTTCCTTCTGAAATGGATGAAGTAATGACTGGCATTCTCAAAGATATGTTATTCTTCGAAGTCAGTATCTCCTTCTCAGGAGAAAGAAAGGCCCAAAATTGCTATGGCAGGAGTTCTCCAACTTGCTTTGGAATAAGGTATTATTGAGTGGAGATACAAGGGCCCTCACGTGACAGCGACCTGCAAGGGGAAGACGAGAAGGGGCAGGAGGGGAAAAAGTCAGATAGGGCAGATTGTGGGCTAGGAGGGAAAGTGGCTTGCTTGGAGTTACATATGTGTGTGTGTGTTTGTGTGTATATGTGTGTGTGAGAGACAGAGTTTTGCTCTTGTCACCCAGGCTGGAGTGCAGTGGCACAGTTTTGGCTCACTGCAACCCCTGCCTCCTGAATTCAAGCGATTCTCCTGCCTCAGCCTCCTGAGTAGCTGGGATTACAGGCGCCCACCACCACACCCAGCTAATTTTTGTATTTTTAGTAGAGATGGGGTTTCACCATGTTGGTCAGGCTGGTCTCGAACACCTGACCTCAGGTGATCCACGTGCCTCGGCCTCCCAAAGTGCTGGGATTACAGGCATGAGTCATCATGCCTGGCCAATCTTGGACTTTTGAAAAGATTAAATTTTGCTTTATAAAATCACCTTAACTTCATTTCATTCATATATTTACCACAGACAAGTGAAGCTTTCATGGAATGGCATGAGCCTGCGCATGGAAAACGCTGATTTTAATTATTTCCTCTCAAATCTATTATACATTGGAAAATGTTTACCTTTTTCTATACTTAAAAATAGCTTTTTTGCTCCTTTATTCAATGATTATTTATTGTATTTGTGTCATGCGAGGCCTCATGAAAACCACTCTAGAGAATCCCAAAACATGTAAGACCTCACCCCTGACCTTTGACCTGTTAATGCCTTGGCTGGGCCATAAGATACCTCATACAGCATCAGGCAAATTTTGTGTTCTCTGCATCAAGCCTTTTTTATTTATTAAAGTCCAAATGCCATTGCTTTTTTTAGGTCTAACCTAATTTCTTTTGGGTCTCAACCTCAACCTTGGGTGTCTTTACTAATAGGTAGCCAAACAGTTGGTGAGGTCGATTTTGATAATGCTAGAAAACCAGAGGTGCAGTATTTTAAGAGGCAATGCTAATTAAAGGCTGGAGAGGGCCCACGACAGGAGAGTGTGAAGATGGCAATGTCCTGTGAACAAGAGTCCAGTCTGTTCTTTCCAGCCCCTTACTGAGACTTCTAGCCCTCTTTGAGCAAATGAAATGGATGAGGAAGCACCCCTGTTATTTCTGTATTCTCTGATTTG